TACAACAAGCAGAACACTATTTATACTAGCCATATTCTAGAAGAATATATAAAAGTATTTCAACCACACAATGTCCACCAGATCCATCACTCACCAAGCCAACTGGGATACAACAAGCAGAACACTATTTATACTAGCCATATTCTAGAAGAATATATAAAAGTATTTCAACCACACAATGTCCACCAGATCCATCACTCATCAAGCCAACTGGGATACAACAAGCAGAACACTATTTATACGAGCCATATTCTAGAAGAATATATAAAAGTATTTCAACCACACAATGTCCACCAGATCCATCACTCATCAAGCCAACTGGGATACAACAAGCAGAACACTATTTATACTAGCCATATTCTAAAAAAATAACTGTTATGACATGAAAACATTTTGTTGGCGAAGTACGATTATAATCAATTATATGTGTCATTAAAAACATTAGGCTTATTGTATTTTTAAACACGGTATTCTTTATTCGGGATTTTCCAAGATGAAGAATGCATAATCATATTTCGACCATACTATAATCGCCATAAACTATTTATGAAATTAATAAAACAAAACAAATTATTTTAAAATAAATATGTTACCTGCTACTCTTTCCCCATTTACTTACCTTCCAAACAAAATAACGTGTGTAACGTGATCCTGCCAATGTGCTGAGAAAAATGAAAGTACAGATACCAAGAACAAAATAAACAGAAGTGAGGGAGACGATCCAAGTTGAAGAGCCACAGAAATAGCTAGGGTTACAAACACTGCAATGGAAAGAGTCAATAGTTACTTCGATAAAAATAGAAGCACTCCATATCATAATTAAATAATTTAACTTATAACCCATAAACTGATTTAGTCACCGACTAGCATCTGAATTTTTATTTTTATAAATAATAGCTTATGCATCTCGTCAATATAGAGACAATTGATGTTTCTAGGAACGTAAAGAGAAAATCCAAAAATAAAATACTTGAAGTGTTATTAATTGTAAGTATGAGATGGCAGGTTTAATCATTTTCCTGTGAGTAGTGATTACATCGACTAGTGTAATACAAACTAATCAATTAATTAAAATTAATGTTACAATTATAATTGTTCTCAGTTATTCCAAAAATTGATGAAATGAAATTACGATTAAAATTACTGTTACAAAAATAACCAACCTATCAAAATTAGAGTATCTGATTATTACCACTATCCAAGTAATCAAGTTATTACTATTTCGTTTATTTGTTGTTAACCAAAAAACTACACGATGGGCTAACTGTTTTTCATCTACTGGGGGTATATTAAAACACAATTTCAGCAATACAAGTTGTTATTTTTTAAGTTTATTTATTTCAAATTTGTTCAGCTATGGCCTACACTGGTTTAAGAGTTTGGGGTTTGATTCGCCACCAAACTTGCTCATTCTATCTTTCTTGTCTGCCGCTATCACTAATTTTTAACTGCTGACTGGAAAGAAGGCAAGTGGGAGGTGGTATCAATCAACAACTCTTTGGTTATGTAAATGTTAACTACGGTGAAAATTTATTTTCATTTTGTTACACAGTATTATGTTTCTAATTTAAAATTGAGTGACTGTATGCTTTAATGTTGAATAAGCAGGTGTGCATCTAAGGAAGGGGTCCAGGGGGTTTGATTCCCCTCCATTTCTCTTCAGATATTAATAAAAAAGCAGCTAGACATCCTTACACTACCATGTGGTAATAAAATTAAGCATTAGACGTCAGTGTTGTATTTAATTGGTCTATTTATTACCATAAAAACTTTTTTTTGAGGTTTTTCTAAAATCAACACAAATGGAGTCTACAGCAATCCAGACAAAGCCTCAGCCAGTAACTGGTTATTTTTAAGCTAGAATAACAATATGAATATCAATGAAAAGGCAGTATTGTAATTTCCTGTACCTTGGCTTTTTCCAGACACTGTAACAATGCATCTCAACTTTACGAGATTTGTTGATATTTAATTGTTTAGAAGTTAGAATTCTCCTACAACAGATGTTTACGCACTGTTGATGCCTAAAATAAGTAAAAATGCAAGTGGCAAGTCTGTATAGTTAAAGAACTTTTAATATTTTTTAAAGACATCCTGTATATGAATAAATGATATATTTCTAACCATGATTATAAATAATTATAACTATATAATTGAATTTAAAAACTTAAAATGTTTGTTTTTAACTGTTATTATTTTCATATCAATCGCATTACTAGAAATAAAAATACAAGCTTTGAAACTGCTAGATTGTAACCTGACTGAGTTAATCACTTACAGATTATTGTTAATGTTATTTTAACTTTGTTTCACTTACTTAGGTTACTTTAGGACTATATGGGCAACATTTAGTAATCCATGGGCAACATTTAGTAATCCAAAGTACTATATTACAGTGAATCTTCTTTCATGTAAAAAAATGCTTGTTACACAGCTAACCTTTAAAAAAAGTTATATCATCGTTTTAAAAATGAAACGTTACTGCAGAGTGTGTGAAAAAGTTAAATATCAGTGTTAGTTGTAAACACAATACTACTATATTACCTGAATAGACTTTCTAGTTTTCATCATTCCCCTAATGGTTTTAAAAACTTTTTAAGATAAAGATATAACTATTAAAAGTTGGATTTTACAAAATAAATTGATGTTCTTCTAATGTTGTTTGTCTTTAAATTTAGTCTACCTAAAGAATATCTAAACGTACTGAGTTTTTACTTTGGCTAAGTGCTTATTTGCCTAATAAATAAATATATTATGACTATTCATTTCTGTTGGTTTGTTACAAAGAACTAGAGTAACTACATACACATACAACACTTAAAGTTCCAACACCCTTATGAACGTATAAAACATTACTGATTTGTCCGAAATAACAGGTCTAGAAAAGTGTACATGGTAGTGTTGTTTGTTTTTTATGAATTTAGCACAAAGCTACACGAGGGCTATCTGCACTAGCCATCCCTAATTTAGTAGTGTAAGACTAGAGGGAAGGCAGCTATTCATTACCATTCACTGCCAACTCTTGTGCTACTCTTTTACCAACGAATAGTGGGATTGACCATCACATTATAAAGCCCCCACTACTAAAAGGGCTAGCATCTCTTGTACTTAATGACACTGGAAAACAAAATAATTTGAATCAACTTGGGACCCAGGACCATTCAAAGAGAAACCTGCAACAAGTCATATACTGTGGATAAAGATGTCCATTTGTTCACTTGTGTGTGTGTGTGTTTATCACATCTGCTATCCATCTTCAATTTATTCTCTTCATAATATTTCCTAAAATTTCCTTATGCAGACACTTTTAATGATATCTGCCGAATATTAGTGCACCTGAACACTATACACAACATGTTTCTTTTTCAGTGTGATAATTATTTCATTCTTAAAGTTACAATAAACTACAGATAAAAGGCCTCACTATACTGTTCTTCAACAATAAGCATGTACAGGTTTTTTGTTGCCTTTTTTTAAATGTTATTTTCTTCATATGAATTAAAAAATTAATAAACAATAAACATTTGGTTACCTTTGAAAGGAGTGTAACTCGATATGCCTGGAGGCTAATTGTCACGTACACAATCAATGAAATACCAAAATACAATATAAAAGCATCAATGGGAAGAATATATCATAGTTTATCCCTACTACCATCAAAGTTTTCTAACATTGTCTATTTTTTTTATCTACTCCAGCCCAATTCCAAGCAGTTATATACATCTCACACAGTATACACGGAAACCCAAAACCTCAATTCATAAAAAAAGTAATTATCTGATCTTGAAAAACTATACTTTTGTTACAATTGATTACTTGTAATTGATTACAAACATCTTCCTTCTACAAATTAAGCTTGTGACTAACAGCAGCTAAAAAAACATTATTAAAGTTTCATGTTTATAGCCAACATATTCTATCAGCACTGAATGGATCACATATACCTGAACATACCTGTTGAAACAGCATCACATCCATGGTCATAGTATTCTTCTAATTGTGTGTTCTGAACTCTTATAGCTTGCTTCCCATCAAGAGCATCAAACGTCTGATAGAGGAAGATTCCAAAGGCACACAACAGAAATACCCAACTAGGAACCTGTAATTTGAATTACACGGTAATTTATTTGTGAAGATAACTTAAATACTGCTTTTATGATTTACATAATTCAACTCTTCTTGTCACGCGAATCTTGTTTGTGAATTAATTTCAAACAAAGAAAAAAAAAACGTTTCGCACTTTGCAGATGTTATATGAAAAAGTAAACAGACTCACGTTTACATCAAGTTTTTCATATGCCTAGATAAGATACAAAAAAATACATTCACATTTTAACAACAAGTAAAGAAATACATAACCCCCAGATGGTTTTTAAGCCATAGAAATTAACATTTTCCTAAAGTGAAATGTATTTCTGACAGATACTTACCTAGATTTCTAGACTTATACTGCCATGTATCGGTATACATATTTGCTTACCACTAGCCTTGATACTCTCATTTATTTCTGCATACTAACATGCAAATGATTATACAGCAACCTTTCAAAAATAGGAGTGCAAAACTACCCCTATCGTAACTAGCGTCCTATCTAATCTTCTAGCTTAACCATACCAGAAGTGACGAGGACGAGTGGGAAATGTGAGCGGAGGTAAGTATTTATCAGAAATACATTTTCAGTTTAGGAAAATGTTAACTTCTAATATGATATCTAACCTCCCCTCACAAAAAGCTAGAATCCCACATTGAACTGGTGGAGGATCCATGAGAAGATGATCATCTCCTTCAGGAAGCACCAAAAAGAAAACCATAGGGTGCGAGAAGGAATTAAAAACAACAAGACCTCACAACTTCTGAGTCAGGTATATTTTTGCCCTTTAGTAATGTGTTACTAAAAAAAGGGCAGAAACATGGAGGTACCCCAAGAAAAATTGCAGAAATAATTGGATCCCCTGGTGTAGAGTGGATAGGGTGTGACAGACCGTAAATGGGAGTTCGACCTCAATCAACATTGTACATCTATCTACCTTTCACCTCAAAAATGGATACCAGCAGGGAAGATAATCTGATGGAAAAAAAAACATGAAAAAAGGTGACAATCATCAGGATCAGGAAAATGAGAAGAAAAACACCGGGTGAATTAAACCGAGAAGGGTAATAGGGAAAAGGTCACAGGAGAGACAAGTGAACACAGGAACCGTGGAAGGGAGCAGTACAATGTGTCATATACCATCGAAGAGCCCTGACTGAGCAAAGGAAGCAGGAGGGATTGGAATGGCCATAAAGGTAGGAAAAAAGTTTGTAAGAAGGCAAGAAGCAGTCATATGTTAATAGAACGGTGGAAATGAAGACCTCTAGAATGAGTCAGGTGGGTAAAAAACAGAATTTTAAGGAGGAGAGAAGGAAATGGAATTCTAAGACAATGGGGGAGATGAATAGAATTACTTTCAGAACCCATGGATCAACTGCCAAGGACCTCCAAATACGGCCTGCACCCATCCTGACCCAAGAAGGGTGATCAGAGTAAGACAAATACAGGAGAAGGTAATTGAATTATCGTGGTCAGACTTGTACTCATTGTGAGTCCAAATAAAAGTACTTGGAAAGATAATAATCAAAAGCATGATCGTCCATCCACAGAATGTCAAGTTCGAGGCATACCAACCCCCAAAGAAAAATACTTCCCAAAGTGAATTGCATGAACCCCAATATCCAGGGAAGGAGGAAGCACTAAAGAAATGCTAGTCCCCAAGAAAAGCATTGGTGTAACACAGGAATGGAAGAGAAGGTCAGAAAATAATATACCTGAATACTCAAATCCACCAGGCATAATCAGAAAGGGGAAAAAAAGGCTGTTCAAATCCAAAACTTCCCAATCACTGAAAACTGTGATACGACAATCATCAGTTTGTTCCGTTTGTTGCAGGAAATTGATTAACCCTCGACAGACCAGAGCCATCACTTCATGGGCAGAGAATTGTGGTTTCGACCTGTCAGAAATTCCACTTCAGCAGTTGTAGTCATGACCATCTGAAAATGTGACTGCATAACTCACAAAATTGAAAGGGGAGATAAATAAAATAATTCATGACGAGCAAAAACAAATCTACTCAATAAGACTACCAACCGAGAAGTGGTTAACAGCTGCAAGATTAGAGGGAGCGCTTTTTACAATAGAGATAGTGGAGGGTTGCTGCATAATCATTTGCATGTAAGTATACAGAAATAAGTGGGAATATCAAGACTACTAGAGGCTTTTTGTGAGAGGAGGTAAGATATCATATCACAACTGACAACTGATTGTTAAGATGCTCTCCTAGGCCTGGCATGGCCAGGTGGGTAGGACGCTCATCTTGCAATCTGCGGGTCGCGGGTTCGCAGACCGCCCACCTCC